TTATAATGTTATTTCTACCGTATCTTGTAATTAAATCCGCAAAACCACGCGCATATACTTTCTTCTACTCATACTTACATATACTTTCAAATTCGAATAAAATTTTATTGTCTGCAGTAATTTTCCGATATACCGATGGTTGCCAATAACCCGGTTGTTCACCATGTTTCAAAAGCTCGCGTTATACTGGGATTTTAGGGTACTGTACCGCATTCGTAAAAAGCAAGACAAGGATACATTGGAAGACCACAAGGACGATGCCTGAACAACTTTAGGAAAAGTATTCGCAGCATATGGAGATGAGGTGAAAACCAGAGTTGACAAAGTCTAAATGTAATTTTTCACTGCAGACGCCAGTTTACGCATCAGTCCAAACTGCAGTTGGTTGCTAACGCTTCAGATCTTGCGATCGAACACTAATATAGGGCTATCTTCGTACTTGTGTTTCCATAGGGAGTTTTCTCCTCGGCAGTCACATCTAACGTAAAGAGAAGGAAAGACTAAACTGCGGCTAGAAACTGAGGCATTTGAAACTACTCCAAAATGGAGGTCAGAATCGTCTACAACAATGGGACAACAGAACGAAACGGTATGCTTCATTTCTCACATCATATGCCGGAAGTTAGCTATACAGGTGGAAACGAAAAGTTACAATTTACTAAGGAGTTTATGACCAAGTGAGCAACCCAGACATTCCTGTCCAAGCTGTTTAGCCATAAAAACGTGTTGTTCGAAACTGATAGTAGATTGAACCCTCTTTTGAAAAATATTCGCTTATTGTCCATTGGCGTGATATTAATATCGACACTACGCTCAGCTGAATTTTTTTTTCAATAAGCAACAGACGAAAAGTAAATATCATTGAAGCAGCAAACCATAATCGGTATTGAGTTAAAAGTTTAAATGAATTTTTGCTAAACAAATCGTACCATGTGTATCCCATAAGGTTTCTTCAGAGTAATTACACATGTTTGTCCTCGAAAGGGAATTTTCTCGACTCGGTAACTCGAACGGGAACAATCCCAATTATGGTTGATGGTGCCTTCCTTTGTTCTTTTATAAGAAAGCAAACCACCAGTGCAACCGCAGAAAGAAAACGAGTGTGTCATAATGCTGAAAGTGCTGAACACGTCAAACAGTGACATCAGCGCTAGAAAGCCAGTTCATCATAACCATTTCCAATGTCCGCGAACCAAAATAGCTGCAACCGGTAGCAGATAGTTTGAGATAATTACACTAGCGACCACGAAGGTAGATTCGATGACAATTTCATCAGATGCTAGAAGAATTCAACAACAAAGAAAAACAGTTGAGGCAACGATCGAAGCGTTTATCCAACTAAACATTTCATACACTTTCATATTCCTGAAGTTCCATGATTTCGCCTCCATTTAAATATGTTTCTGTTGTTGTTTGCCATCACCATTTTTACTGCACCTGATGAATTGCAGGCTGCTTTATAACTGTGATCTCCACTCGTCTCTGAGTTGGCGAATTTTTTAATCACAACCTGTTTTTCCCACTGCACACGTTGACCTCTCATCGTCAGATGTGTGCTGTTGTATGAACAACATCTTCATTATCAGATCAATAGGATGTTTACTTTTCAGTGTTAAAGGCTGAAGGATTCGGACATTAGGTATGCTCGATATATAGTTCGTCAGACCAAGCAACTGAACTGTATTTCAACACACGGTAATTACAACCTAATATAGGAAGTTCCTGAAAACCTCAAAGGCTCATCTACATCAACAAATAACAGTAGGGAAACACGAAGCACTCGAAAGCAATCATCAGAGTAGAAATAATTAATAAAAAATGAACTCAAAATATGACGCCTGGGTTCCTGAGATCTTAGAGTTCGTTTGCTGCAGCGAACGAAAATTGTGTACTACCAGAAAGATATATACGGAAGGACTTTGTTCCAGACTCCAGTTGTCTTCTACCGAAGCTCAGACTCTGGCACAGGATCGGGAACGTTGGAAGCTCTGTCTGACTCGTCGGCCTCTGCGACCCGAAAGGAGAAGATGAAGATGAAGAAGAAGAAGACGAGAAAGATGTTAAGTCACTTTAGAACTTGAAGTACGCACAATTCCCATAGCATCAAATTAGTAAGACTCATTTTTAACTGCGATTAAAAGCATCGCATTTTTAACCTGTGGGAAGCCCATATTCAATACCGTACAGTCATTTAAGCGCAACTAAAAGTATCATACGAATGAGGAACAAAATTCATTATTACTTTAAATATCATCCAGGAACTTACAATGCACAACAGCCAATATGAAAATGCAGATACTATGCAAGAGTATTGCCATACACGACCAATCGGTTCACTGCTGTAGAAACTAAATCAACGCCAGTGAAACAGTACTACAAGTATGACCTTGAAGAAAATAAAATTGTATTTCATCGATTACTGTATATCGAAAGTCCAGATTTTCAACCTGCTGATTGCTTCCACACACGGAAGCAACAGTTCAGCTTTGCATTTGTTAATACACCGCGTTTCTCTCCAAGTTTGATAAATAGCCAAATCATGGCAGACTCCGCCACGATAGTTCTTCGTCACATTAATGATGCTCAAAGAACAATAAAGCTTGAGGAGTTCCTTTGCCTTCCCTCTGTAGGGCCAGCTAAGTCACAACTTTATTGATTTTGATTTTGAGAGCGGCGTATCTGAAAAGTCGTTTCGTTACCGTGTGGTGAAGAGAAAGATGAAGAACAGACATGAGGTTCAGACATGTTTCTAGCAGTGTTTTAGAACAGTTTTCGAGGTACTTCATTTTCATAACTTCCCTCCATAACTCAAAATCTAAGATCGCTCCTAGGCACATGACCGATGCAGATCTTCTGTGTTTTGGACTTGACTTTGTCTCAGCAGCTTAGTCATAATATTCTCGTTCTAATAACTTGGCTAATTATACACATAATTGTTTTGAGAAAAAAACTTTTCTTTCGAATCACACCTTCTTAGCCAATTTTTACTTAAAAAATTGCATAAGGGAATGGAATCTTTGTTTTCGATGCCAGTCTAATATGAACGCAAAACCAACTGAAAGAAATAAGCGTTTCTACTTACCACACGGCTGTTTTCCGCGATTGTTTCGGTCGACCGTTCTGTTGAAATCTCAATACAATCGCTCGTCTTTTCGGCGGTGGGCAATAAATCCTTTACTCTCTGCAAGAAAACATAAGACTTGAAATAAAGCTACAGTAAGAAACACATACCGGCCTGTTCTTTCAGCCCAGTCAGGGCAGGGTGTGGCCAGGAAAGAATACAGGCTGCAACGCTTACGTCGTCGAAGTAAGTCATTTTTCAGATTTTGCACTACAGCGGCGAATCGCACAAAGGACCACGTCGAGTAAGGAAATAGTTCGCTGTGAAGATGAACAGTTGGAGGCCTAGAAAAAGGGAAGCATTAATAGGCATTAAACACAAGTCAAACAGCATTGGATTTTATTTTCATAAACGTCAATAAATTGGAATAGTAACTAT